AATTACGTACTTCGCTGATGAGAAACGTGTACGTAAGGCCCTGGCAGTTAAAATCAGCAATCTTAACAAGGCTGCTGTCAAACGTGCTTCACAGAACCCGAGAATTTAAAGTCGGTGAAACGTGGTTTTATATATTTTGAATGAATTCAAAGTAGAAAGTAATTTTAATTTTTTTTTCAGGTCAATTTTTGATAAATCTGAATAAAAATAAAATTCTGGTTTAAAACAAATCTTTTATTTATCGAGTTCGAAACATTTTTTCTGTGGTCATGATTTTAATGAATTATACAAATAATGGTTGAATTTATGCATCAAAACTTTATCCAAATGATAGCCAATAAGGTTATTTGTTTAAATTATAATCATTTTCAAACTTTACTCCATATAATAATAAAAAAAAACTTTATTAAATTATTCATAAACTATAACTAATAACATTAAGATTTGAACCACAGATAATAAGGTTTTAGTGTAGTTTTCATTCTGAAACTATATGAAAAAATCAAGAATTTTGAATGGTAATAGTTCTTAACAACCCATTGTTTTTATCATCCATTTCTAAAAAACCATAAAAAGTAAAGTTAAAACTTTATCCCACAAACGTTCGTGTAAAGTTGCATAATTATTACAAGTAACGTTAAGGGCGTGGAAGATAAACCATTTTTGATAAGGTCATATTTTGTTTAATTTTTATGCGGGATACTATTCATTTAACACATAAATTCCATGTGTACTTCTGAGTGGATTCTGTTTATGTGTGGTCACATGAAAATCATGTGGAATTTCACATGGAAATTCGTCAATAAAAATGTGTGGAATTTTTTGACTGTGTGATTATGTATGTTGTATAATAGAGATTTTCGCATCCGGTTGTATTGGAGCGATATGTGAGAGCGTGTTAGTGAAAATCCGAGGAAAATACACAACAAATCGCTGTCAAACTCATTTTGGCAGATCTAATTTCATACATTTTTTAGGTTAGCCAGAGGAAAATAATAAACAATGTTTTTTCCTGCCTTCCTTTAATTGGTGAAATGGTGAGCAATCAACCGAGCATTGAGCTCGCTCTTGTGACCATGCGCAATGTGTCGTTTGTTCGATTTGCGCTCTATCATTGCGTCTGTGTTTGATTTTTTTTTTAATGAAATTAAAGACGTAGTCCTACGTCAGAAACCAAAATTGACCGCATTACGAAAAGTGGTTAGGTTTTAATCACATATAACTCTGTCAATAGCGGATGGATTTTAATTCTAAACAAGCCAATCCCTTAGGAATTTTGCTACAAATCTGCTACAAAAGCGGCATCATGTTGTCAAAGAGGGTTTTTAAGTGAGGAAGTCGCCGCACAGAGAACAGACGTTCAAGTTCGGTCAGAAACTTGTGTAAAATAAGTGGGAACGTCGCCGTTACGTCACAGAGAACAGACATGGAGGCTCGAACAAAATTTCTCTAAAAACTTGTGTAAAGATTTCTATTCGACTTAAGCGCCACTAACGGCGACTTCCCCACTTAAAAACCCTCTTTGAAAACATGATGGCGCTGGCGTTGCTCAAATTACACTAGACACTAAGTGCTAGTAGCGCCAAGTGGCAATTTTCAACAGAAAATTTATCGATACTAGCGCCAAATTGGTAGTGGAAAATTTATTGAGAAAATCAGGAGATGCTAACACCACGTAACGGCGACGTTCCCATTTATTTTACACAAGTTTCTGACCGAGCTTGAACGTCTGTTCTCTGTGGTTACGTGGTGTTAGCATCTCCTGATTTTCTCAATAAATTTTCCACTTTCGATCAATTTGGCGCTAGTATCGATACATTTTCTGTTGAAAATTGCCACTTGGCGCTACTAGCACTTAGTGTCTAGTGTAATTTGTACAACGCCAGTGCCATCATGTTGTCAAAGAGGGTTTTTAAGTGGGAAGTCGCCGTTAATGGCGCTCAAGTCAAATAGAAGACTTTACACAAGTTTTTAGAGAAATTTTGTTCCAGCCTCCATGTCTGTTCTCTGTGGTCACCGTTAGTGGCAATTTTCAACAGAAAATTTATCGATACTAGCGCCAAATTGATCGAAGGTGGAAAATTTATTGAGAAAATCAGGAGATGCTAACACCACTTAACGGCGACGTTCGCACTTATTTTACACAAGTTTCTGACCGAACTTGAACGTCTGTTCTCTGTGCGGCGACTTCCTCACTTAAAAACCCTCTTTGACAACATGATGCCGCTGGCGTTGCCAAACTTACACGCTACTAGCACTTAGTGTCTAGTGTAATTTGTGCAACGCCAGCGCCATCATGTTGTCAAAGAGGGTTTTTAAGTGGGGAAGTCGCTGTTAGTGGCGCTTAAGTCAAATAGGAATCTTTACACAAGTTTTTAGAGAAATTTTGTTCGAGCCTCAATGTCTGTTCTCTGTACTAGCGCCCAATTGGTCGAAAGTGATAAATTTATAGAGGAAATCAGGAGATGCTAGCGGTACGTAACGGCGACGTTTCCACTTAACTTTACACAAGTTTCTAACCGAACTTGTACGTCTGTTCTCTGTGGTAACTCTAAGACCAGAAGGTCCCGAAGAAACGAGCTCAACTTTTTGTCTCATCTCTGGTACTATCTTCGGTCCCAAGCTAATCGATGTACCCCTCGAAACATAGGAAAATCCACGAGCCCCTCATTTTATTTGTCAAACTTTCACAGCGAATCAAAACAAACATAGTGTAGTCACAGAGAACAGACATTGAGGCACAGAGAACAGACATTGAGGCTCGAACAAAATTTCTCTATGCCGCTAGCATCTCCTGATTTCCTCTATAAATTTATCACTTTCGACCAACTGGGCGCTAGTATTGATAAATTATCTGTTGAAAATTGCCACTTAGCGCAACCAGCCCTTAGCACAGAGAACAGACGTTGAAGCTCGGTCAGAAACTTGTGTAAAATAAGTGGGAACGTCGCCGTTACGTGGTGTTAGCATCTCCGGATTTTCTCTCTAAATTGTCCACTTTCGACCAATTTGGCGCTAGTATCGATAAATTTTCTGTTGAAAATTGCCACTTGGTGCTACTAGCACTTAGTGTCTAGTGTAATTTGTGCAACGCCAGCGCCATCATGTTGTCAAAGAGGGTTTTTAAGTGGGGAAGTCGCCGTTAATGGCGCTTAAGTCAAATAGGAATCCTTACACAAGTTTTTAGAGAAATTTTGTTCCAGCCTCCATGTCTATTCTCTGTGCCCTTAGTGTCTTGCAACGCCAGCGCCATCATGTTGTCAAAGTGGGTTTTAAAGTGGAAAAGTCGCCGTTAGTGGCGCTTAAGTCGAATAGGAATCTTTACACGCTATTTCAAAACTACCCAAATTTGGGTAAAATCCACACAAACCGTTAAAAACTGAACCTACTCAAAAATGGGTAAACTGTGTTGAGAGAATGATTCTAGATGGTTTTCATGGATACCACAGTAGCAAATCATCTTTATTTGAAGCAATTTAAGAAATTTACTTTTGTTTACATCTTTTGTCCGATATACCCACCGACAAAATATACCTTGGACGGTGTCGTGAAATGAAATGAATGTTTTATATTAAAATCCAATTCGAAAAGTCAAAGATGCACATCAGTCTTATCGGAATGACGTTTTGCCACAGAGAACAGACGTTCAAGTTCGGTCAGAAACTTGTGTAAAATAAGTGGGAACGTCGCCGTTACGTGGTGTTAGCATCTCCTCTCTCTATAAATTTTCCACTTTCGACCAATTTGGCGCTAGTATCGATAAATTTTCTGTTGAAAATTGCCACTTGGCGCTACTAGCACTTAGTGTCTAGTGTAATTTGTGCAACGCCAGCGCCATCATGTTGTCAAAGAGGGTTTTTAAGTGGGGAAGTCGCTGTTAGTGGCGCTTAAGTCGAATAGGAATCTTTACACAAGTTTTTAGAGAAATTTTGTTCGAGCCTCCATATCTGTTCTCTGTGTTTTTAGAGAAATTTTGTTCGAGCCTACGAGAGTCTGTTCTCTGTGCTATTGATTCAGGTTGCCATTACCATTGCCATTTTAAAAAATATATTCACAAGTGACACACTATAAACATTTGAATTCTAATTGGAATTCCCTTAAACATTTTAGCATCTGCTGATTTTTTTTTAAATTCACTCTACAGTATTGTTGGTATTCTCATGAAACCTCGCACTTCAGTTTATTCTATGTATATAAAATACTCTTGTTATATTCATTAAAATTGGGCCTATTCTGCACGGCGTGTGAGGTGAGATGACAGTGAAGTGATGGTGAAGTGACAATTATCACCTCGGGTTAGGTGACTCTCCATTTGATTTGCACGGAGAGTCACCTTACCCAAACCTTCACAAGTGACAGCGTGACACCTCACCTCAGACGCCGCGCAGAGTAGGCCAACATTCATTTGGTAATTTCTTCAGATTTTTCAGAAACCTTTTGAAATTCACCTCCGACCTGCTATTGAAGTTTGCTTTCTAATTCCACAGAACACTAATGAAAATTTCCTCCAAACTTTGTTAAAATTCTTTTTAGAATGTTGCAAGGGTTCTCCATAAAATTCCCTAAGATTTATTAAGAACCCATTGAAATTATCTGTCGAGCTAAAAATTTCTTTAGAATTCTAGCCAACATTGTCAATCTTTGAAGTGCCAGACTGTTGAAAAACAAGCTAATTATAAGAACTTTTGAAATATTTCAATATGTCATATTCTTGGGAAAGTTTCAGATTCATTGGAGTTTCATGGAAGAGAAGAAATTCAAAGTTGGGATTTAACAACATAATATACATAACAAAATATTTTAAAATTTTACAATCTGAATAATAATTCTCAGTCCTTCGACAAAACCAAGAATCATGAAGATTTTCGTAGTCTGTAATTATCAAGAAAAAAACTGTTGGTTTTTCAAAATCAAATAAAAAAAAATGGTATACTTTTCTGAGGAATGGTTTTCGGGGGTATGTTATAGAATCGTTAGAATGAACATGCGTAGTTAGAATATTTTCAGCTTTATTGCGCCGCTTAGGATTGCTATTCTGGTTTGTATAATAATGGATTTTCGATTTTCGCAAACATTAGTTCATAGTATATCAATACTAACTTGTACTCTGTTATAAGCTTACACATACGCACACCTGCTCTGGTGTTCGATCGATTTTGGATTATGTATTGTTAATGATTATTCTCGATAATACATATTGACCTATAACTATGCTGAACTCAATTTTAAAATGTTTTCGTCGTTAAAATTCTCTGGAAATACGATTCTATAATGAGAAAACTTAATTTGTTTGGCATATTGACCACAATTGTGAGAATGAATTTTCAGCACTACCGTCCCATTTTTTCAATATGCATAGCTTCTCTAAAGCGTTTAATTGTAGAAAACAATAATACGAAAGACAAAGGATCGAATGGATCATCCAAGATAAAAGCATAACGTGAAAGAATGTTCGTCCGAAGATATGCTCGTCCATACGAATTCATCCATCCCATCCTTCGCCCTGCAGCGCTTTTAACACGCGCCGCGATCGAATGTCTTTTGGTTCACTATTCTCCACTAGGACTCTAACGTTAGTATCTAAATTTGTATTGCTGTCTACTTTTTAACATCAAACCTACTAAAATGAAATGCAGCCGTCACATACTGTTCGTTATGATGCGTTTGATTGATGTGTTCGTAGCCAAGTAAAATTCAAGTCAACTTAATGTTTTTGCATCTAGGTAAACTGCACTTGCTGCCGTTCGTGACCGACCTTCAAAATTGTCCATACAAAAATATAGATTTTCAAAAAGCGGAAATGGTTAAAATCTTACAGTTTAGTTTACAAACTCCTGGCGACGTTTGGCAATCGACGATGTTTCCCAGTTTATCGTAATTTTTCTTTCAGCCAATCTTCGGTCATCTCGTCCAGCTCGCGGATCTCGTAATACCGCGTCAGGTCCGCCTCTCGTTGCAAAGCTATGCGTGTCTTGGCATACAGCATGCACAGTTCCATCTGGCTGTCCCGTGGAGTGTAGAAGATGAAACACATCGGGTATGATATCCGCGAATCGTCATGCACCATCTTGTAGCTATAGATAATGTACCGAGGTTGATGGCTAGGCAACTGCTCTTGTAGGTCTTCGACCGAGACGTCATCCAGCAGCTCGTCTACTGTGACCAGTTGCTTCTCGCGGTCAATTTTCACTAACAAAACAAAAGAACAATGTTTCGTCAATAGATAGACGAGGATAGACGTTAATCGTATTTAAGACTCGTTAACATTTTAATGGTAATCTATTTAGTCAAACGTTATCCTGGTGAATGAACCCTTTATCAGGACAAGGAAAAAAAAAGAATAAACGGGAATGAGCAAAAGATTTAAATGGCTGTAACTCGATGAATCATCCACTTTTCTACTGCTCTACGATGCCAACACAATAATAGTGCATTGATCGCATGATTTACGCTGGTAATAATCTAGATAATAGCAGACAGACATTACTCACAGATCAGGGCAGTGTTGGTGGCATTCCGGCGGAATCGAAACTTGCTAATCTCCTCCTTGGCCTCGGGGCTGATGTCGCAGATCTGTGCCTCGCTCTGTAATTAAACAAAACCAACAGTTTCGATAATCCATTCCCTAAATGCTTGCAGGAAGTGATCGATTAAGTGCATAGGTCCCAGATGGAAACTTACCATTTTCTTTTTCAAGTGGAACTTAAATGGAATAACCAGGTATAGGCAGAGGTCCGTGGAGAAGAAATGAATCCAAAAACAAGAACACCAGACGATACACAAGTTGCAACAAAAGACCAATGCAAAACTGATAAGATATGCACACGATATTGTTGTCTTTTGCTGCTGGTCTCCTCCAGTTGCTTCTCTGTATGTGGTGATTGGGACTGGCTACCGACAATGCTATGCGATAAAATTTAATATGAACGAGGAACGAACGCCTCGCCTAGAATCACTAAAATCCGATTTTATGCGCCTCTTTTGTGTGCGGGAGTCGCCAATGTTTTGTATTTTGTGTTCAACCAACACACGCGTGGGTGGCGGCATGTGTGCGTGTGCTGAAACGTCATGTTACAAAATGATCATAAATAAACTTGTGGACGTGTTCCATAATCAAGTCGACAGTGAGCGTTCATAGAAAAAATCATATCGTCCGACCATTTTCCACAGAGATGGCGCTGTTCCGCTGGTAGGAAGTTATAAAAATCCCAACATAGAAATTGGCAAATCAAAGTTGGCACTCGTGGAGAATAGAAGAACTATGAGAGTGATGATGGTTTCAAAATTTTACACGGTGAGGTATACGAGTGCAATCTTAAAATGCTTTTATTTTGCAAATGGAGCATTTTATTTAAATCTGGTTGATGCTATGTTAGTAGAAAACTTAAGGACTACTCAATAGACAAATAATACAGAAAAATTAATTTCTTTTCAGATTTTTAGGTGTACACATAGATTTGAGCTTTTCTACCACTGTAGCAGCAACCAGATTTAAATAAAATGTTCCATTTGCAAAATAAAAGCATTTTAAGATTGCATTCGTATACTTCCCCGTGGAAAATTTTGAAACCATCATCACTGTTATAGTTCTTCTATTCTCCACGAGTGCCAACTTTGATTTGCCAATTGAGAGAAGTGGGAATAATTCGCTTTCGGCACAGAGATTCGGTCAGAAACTTGTGTAAAGTTAATTGGAAACGTCGCCTAGCGTGACGTGGCGCTAGCATCTCCTAATTTCCTCTATAAATTTATCACTTTCGACCAATTTGGCGCTAGTATCGATAAATTATCTGTTGAAAATTGCCACTTGGCGCTACCAGCACTTAGTGTCTAGTGTAAGTTTTGCAACGCCAGCGTCATCATGTTGTCAAAGAGAGTTTTTGAGTGGGGCAGTCGCCGTTAGTGGGGCAGTCGCCGTTAGTGGTGCTTAAGTCGAATAGGAATCTTTACACAAGTTTTTAGAGAAATTTTGTTGGAGCCTCAACGTCTGTTCCCTGTGATCACTGCACACAAAATCAACTTTGTTCAAATCAAAACAAAAATACTAGTCCATCTGGTGGATAATGGCACAAGCTTTTAAGAAAATTCTATAGGCCTTTTTAATAGAAACTAAACGATCGATTTAACATCTGGTGGTGAATAGGAGAACGTCAAAAAGAGTGTTGTGAGCATAAATTTTTGCCTTGCGACATAGGAAGCGGAACACTTTTTTACTTTTCCTGATAAATTGATTCATCTGAGATGCTGCAAAACTTAATCTACAGTTGAAAAATTTAATTCTGTAACGTTTTTGAAAAGATCCTGCTGGTGTTCAAGAATATTTTTGTTGAGAAAAATGGAAAATTAGAAAAGTGCCTTAGTGGTTATGATCTTCCGGATTTCTTGTGTGTGAATAGTTAAGGTGCAAATCAGTTCAGATTTGTGTACAATAAGACAATTACCGATGGAAATTGGCAAGATTTTGAATGAAAAATGCTGTTATTTGCGTTGGGGAAAATACTTATTCTGATGTAAACAAACGGTTTGGTTGACGTTTCTTCTCGAACTCGCGTGGCGCACTCTACGTTTGTGGTGCATTAAAAAGGCGTATTACAGCGTTCATTATTTTGATTGATTTCTTCGCCAGTTAGTCGCCTGTCACTTCGTTTGTTGTTCTAGTCTGCTACGGTTAGTTATTTTTTGTCGTCATTATTGTTTACAAGGCAAATCTATGAAATTCATATCGATTTCTTGTGCCTAAAATTCTTAAGTGGTTCTTTTGCCTCGGTGTAGGATAAACCCTTTTGACATGCTACGGTGAACATTGTTTAATGCTACACAGGAACAAAATCCATAGGCAAAATTACTATATTGATGGTTTAAGTTAAATACTCCCACCAATAGATTTGTGCAGAAACGAAATTCATTTAATTTTACTATTTTTTCTATCAAAACTACTATGCCGTTTTAGTAAGCATAGTAGTTTTGAGAGAATGGTTATTAACTTTGTTTATATTTATAGTCAGTTATACTGAAATCATGGTGAATTTAACGGCATTAAGCGTAGTTATACCAACAATCAATACGAAACTAGCGATTTTAAATTGGCTCACCACTTTAGTAGCCTATTGGTCCCAAGCAAACGATTAACGTACCCTATTCTAGTTGAAATTCTATTACTACACTATGTTTGTTTTGATTCGCTATGAAAGTTTGACAGATAACATCAGGGGTGTGTGGATTCATGCAGAACATGCAGGGGTGAGTGAAATAGCTTGGGACTGCTTGGGACCGTTGTTCTGGTACTGAGTGAGCCAAAAATAATAATGATTTTCTTCGGGACCCAGTGGTCTTAGAGTTACCTCTATGGTTATACCGAAAATAAGTGTTTTCTGCAAAATAGTATTTCTAACTATGGTCTTTGTTTCAGTGTACCTTCGCATTGAGTGTAAAGCCCTACAGTAAAAGTATGGACGTCTGTCAAAAGTTGTTCCAATCGAACCGTCAAAATGCACCGCTTTGCTCGATTGGAACAGCTTTTTTCAGTTTTGTGATGACAGTCGTCCATACTTTTTTGTAGGGCTTTAATTGAGTGACCTCTCATAATTAAAGTCGCTGTATTCATAGTCTGGCGAATGGAATCTCGGGAACCAATTGAGCTGTCAAATACACGGAACCAAATTTTGTTCATTTAAGTTAAAAATATATATGTTTATTAAATAAAAATATGAATAGTTCAAAGTAAATTAAAAATATGTTTTCAACAAAAATATGTATGTTTAAATTAAATTCAAAAGCATGTTTATTTCAACAATACATAATCTGGGTAATTAATTTTTAGCGTGTCCTTTTTTCCTTCTTGTTTACATTCGGCAAACTTAACCGAAAACGGCCTGCAAGCGGCGAAACCAAAGTAGAGGGTCCGGAAACCAACGCAAGCAAGTGTTCCAAGCTCGACAAAACCGGTGGAACATCACAATATTAACGTCAATCCGTCGTTTCTGATGCCGATCCCCATATCATCCTCACCCCCCACCCAACGTCGAAAGAAAAACAGATCATCCCCGAACACTAAACTTAGAAAGAGGCCGGTATGAGGACCAGCGTCAGAAACGAAAAATGACGCTAATATCACAAAGTTTCACCGGTTTTACTGAACTGTATCGGATCGGACACCCACCCCGACGGCTCCCCGGATCCAAACATCCACAGACTTTCCATAATAGCAGAAATTTCCATTTATTTGCTATCCATTTTATTTTGATTTATTCAGCATTCAAATGCTAAAATAATTTCAATACATGTTTGTTTATTTTAAACATGAAAATCATGTTTAAAATAAACATATTAATTTTTGATCGCATATAGTTTCCAAATAAATCAAAAATATTCACGTTTATTTTCAACACGAATATTTTTAAAATAAACCTAACATTATTTTTGTTTTAAACATTATTATCAATGAATTCAAACATATCACACTTAGAAAAAATTACCGACTTCGGTAATTCATTTACCGAATTCTCAACAGCTGAACGGTCGGTAATGTGTTCGGTAATCGAGAACATTACCGAAAAATCTGTAAACTGAATCAGCAAAACTAGATGTCAAATTTACCGAACGATCGGTAACGTTTACCGAAAAAACAAGCTTGATCTGTAATTGATTTTACCGGAGAACTGTAATTTTGGAGTCGATATGGAAAATGAAAATTACCGAAAGATCTGTAATTTAAAAAAAAATGTTTAATTCGCTTTAATATTGTTTCAAGTTGTTTTCTTGGTTTTATCAATTATTTAAATTAAAAACATTTTTCCTTAGTCATTTATTTCATTCTTACGGACATGTTTTATGTAAATCGAATAGCTCAAAACTTACACGTAGCGCTGGCAGTTATTGCAATCCATGCAAAAATTTTGCTCCTGTTGTGGTCAATATGTTGATGTTGAAAACTGCTCCAAAAAAAATTTTTTTTTTTGTCGGAAGGATTCAGTGGTACACCGAAAACAGGGAAGCATTGGATGAAGATCCCAAATGCTGATTTTAGATAGTCGCCAACGGGAATAGCAATGGTATGCCAGCATACTGCACATCCATCCGTCACGTCAGGGAAATTTCCTCGCACTACCAATAGTGGAATGCTTCCACTATCCTGCGGAAAATCATCTTCGAGCTAGAACAAAAAATATTAATAAAGCAACTAATTTTTATTATACCATACGTCTCACCTGTATCCATTTTACAACACCTGATAAGGGATTGTTCAATACTGCGTCATCAGTCTTGGCTCGTTTGAAACCACGCGATTTTTTTAAGAAGGTCGAAAATCACAATATGATGAATTTGACGTTTCTCGCTGTGAAAACTACCGAACTCGGTAATGGAACGGGTTGTTTACCGAAACTTCAGTAAAATATTTCACCGAAGTCAGTGATGAAGCTGATTTACAGATCTGCCGGTAATTTTTTTTACCGTTTTCGTTGAATTGAAATGACATCACCGAAATTCGGTAATTTTATTTACAGTTTTCAGCAATAGAGCGAGAAAATACCGAAACATCTGTAATGTTTAGAATTACCGAATTAAAACGGTAATTTTTTTTACCGAACTCAGGATCTCTGTTTAAGTGTGTAGAATACGTTTGAAATCAACCTAGTTTATGTTTGTGGCCAGAACAAACTGAGTTTACGTTTAAATTTACCTCAAATATTTTTGTTTCGACGGTACATTTTTCTGCGTGTAGTGGAACCAATCGAACAAATCAGTGCCAAGACTACAAAGGGGCGTAATTGCATTTGTAAACAATGGCTTTAGCCATCGATTTCTCGCAAATAAAAGCTCACTCATGAAAAAAAATGTTTCCTCCACCAGCTAGCATTGTTATTTTGGAGAGGTAAGATTTCATTCGCGAGAAATTGATGGCAATTACGCCCCTTTGAAATTTTAACACTGAATTCACGACCAACAACAGAAAAGAGCTCATCAGCTATTGCGAACAAAACTTCGGAAATCCTTTTCTAGTTACTCAAAGCTCGTCTACGCAAACTAACACCATCTTTGGGTTGGGGCAAGTTTCCTCTATCCGATGATGCTGGTAATTTGCGTTTGATTGACAAGGAAAGAATAATCAACGTTCTGTTTATAAAATTAATAGTACCTTTTCAATTGTTAGTCTAAAATATATTGAATTCCCGCGCAACACGAGAAAAGGGCCTATCATTGCTAATCGATTCTCTTCGTCGATTTTCTCTTTCGCGAATAACCCGACTGCAAATGAATTTCCAATATTGAGTGTGTTGTTTCAGGCGCAAGCTAACAACTCTATCGAACTGTCCTGCGAGTTTAGCGAGAAATTCGTTTTTGTTGCCGTGGTAAACCAAAGAGAAAGTCGATGAAGAGAATCGATCAACTAGGATAGGACTTTTCAAATGTTACGCGAGAATTGGAAGCAGATCGTGAAATATTGTTGTATTAGTAAACCAAAAAATCAACGTAAACGTAAGTAGTGACGTCACTAATTGCTTGTATCGTACAGGGGTTTTACTCACACAACTTAAATGATTGCTTCACCTCGGTAATCCAGCTCATTGATTTTTGATGGATCGAAATTCTACACGGTGTTTCGCGAAAACCCATTAATGGGTATAAAAACACCCATTTCCGCTAAAAGTGCCCCTCCTCATTTAATGGGTAAACTATGGTTTACTCTGTAATGGGTAAATGGGGGATCTGTCAATAAATGGGTGTTTTTTTACCCATCTTCTTGAATTGTGTTTTTCGTAAAATGGGTAAAAAAATACCCATTTCTTCAAATGGAGGATGGTGGTGCTGGGTTATTTGTCCTCGTTGATATAAAAAACTTTCTAATATTTACATTTAAAATAAATGCAGGTGTAGCGAAAAAAAATATTACACGAGATATTATAATACCATATTGGATAAAACTGCATAGACTTATCCGTAAGTCTCTCCAATGTTTCGGAATCTAACCTTTTCCGGAGATCGTCCATTTTTGATAAAAAAAAAGCGGACAGAAACTGTTTGCATTACCAATGGTCGGTGACGGAATGAGACGATAAAATTTCCAAGTGTTTTTTCACCCATTAGTGGGTAGAAAATATACCCATTATGCAATCGTGAACTGATTCTTTAAATGGGTATTTTTTCACCCATATTATGATTTCCAAATTCCTCCATTTTTTGACAGCTGCATACACAGAAAAAAAGTTGTTGAATATTACATCTAAACAGCTGAACAGAGATCATTCCGCCGGTTGTGTAATATTACGTTGTACGATGTACATCGATTTTGCGAACAAAATCACATTCATTGATGTAATATTGTATCTGGTTTTTGCTATTACATCATTATTTCCTACATCAGCTTGAATTACGTTGATCGATATTACATTTTTTTTTGCTGTGTACATGGTTTGAAAACGAGAATTTTTTTACCCATAAATGGGTTTTCACGAAACACCGTGTATCCGCCAGACTATAAATAATATAGCGACTATACTCATAATCATGATTTTGAGTCTTGTGAACGCGACTCATTTTGTTTACGTCATCGTCATCGGAAGAATGACAACAAAAAAATAAAAAAAGGTAAAAAAATACGCCTCTGTTGGCATCTAAGTTTTTCGCTGCTTAAAAATTTGCAACTTTCCGTAAATTTCCTGAAAATAACGCAATGGATCTCAAGCAGATCGACGAAGAAGCCCGCCATGCGGCGATTAAGGAAATTAAAAACATGTTCCAGCGCCCCGGCCAGCTGGAAAAGGTGGATCAATATCGACACCGAGTCTACAGGAAGAAGGTATCGATTGAAGCTATGCTGAAGACATGCATGCAAAACCAGACAGACGATGTGAAGGTCGGCGTGAAGAAGCTGCTCTCGGCACTGGAAGATATCGGGGAAATCGACGAGCAGATGAAAGGTGCAATATCGCAGCTGACGGACGTTCCGGCGATCTATGATGCTCTGGAGGCTGTGCGGGATGAGAATGCCAAGCACTCGCAGTACATGACGGCAATGGAGAATTTAAAACATATCTTTACTGTTCAGTCCAGCGTGGCAAAAACGATGCAATGGATCGAGGAGGACAAGCTGCTGCACGCGCATCAGTGCTTGTCAGATTTGGAAAACTCCCGAGACGATTTGCTGTTCGAGCTGCACAAGCTGCCCAAGCAGAACGCTCACGATAAGATAACGCTGAAGCGGTACTTTGAGAAGGTGGAAACGGTTTCGTTGACGTTGGAAAAGAAAATCCGGTTGATATTGCAGCGTACGCTGAATACGGTCCGCAAGGAGCCGACGGTGATTGTGACCGCACTGAGGATAATCGAGCGGGAAGAGAAGGCAGATGCCTTTGCTTTGCAACAGCAGAAACAGACGGGATTTATTCCACCGGGAAGGCCGAAAGAGTGGCGCAAAAAGGCCATGCAGGTTCTGAACGAGGCCGTCATGCAGCGCATCGAAGGTTCCAAGCTGGAAGAGCGAGCAGATAATAAACTGTGGCTGGTTCGGGACTTGGAACTGACTAGACAGTTCCTTCTAGAGGATCTCAGGGTGGTGAAATCGTTGTGCGTTCCGTGCTTTCCACCGCATTTTAACATTTTGAAGGAGTATGTCAGCATGTACCATAATGCGCTGTCGAAATACGTAAGTTAAGAATGTTGGTTGCTTTTCTGAAATTTGTTTAACGGGTTTAATTTTCAGCTTGAAGAACTGATTCAGATGGGGCTGGAAGGGAACGAGTTTGTTACGATTCTTTCTTGGATTATGAATACCTATCCCGGCCGGGAGTTGATGCATCATCCTGACTTGTTTATTGATCTGTCGGACGTTGGGCCTCTGGTGAGTGATGAGGTGCTCAAAGAAATGGAATCGGCCTATCTGCAGACGATGGAACGAAACTATCAGGAATGGATGACCAAAACGCTGGAAACGGAGAAGGCTGATTGGATCAATGGCGTCCCAGCAGACTCAGCTGATCAGTACTATCACACTTCGGCACCGGTTATAATTTTCCAGATGATTGATCAGAACCTGCAGGTCACCAATACGATACATTCCGATTTGACGTTCAATGCATTCATTTTAAGTATTCAACAAGTGATCAAGTACGGTCACAACTATCGCGGGGCGATTATCGAGTACAAGGAGAGACATTTTCGTGATCGTAGCCAGGCACCGTTCTTTACGCAGCACATAATCACGATCGTGAACAACTGTGCCCAGATGATGGAAAATGCTCAGCAGATGAAACAACTGTACTGGCCAAAGTCTAAGACCATGCACTACGAAGAGTTTGAGCGATTGTTGAACACGTACCAGGCTCTTCGGGACGAAGCGGGACTATTTTTGCTCGAGGAAGCTTTTTTGGATTTGGAGATACCCTTCAACGAGCTGTTTACTTTGAAGTGGGTCGGATCTTCCGTGTCCGTGGATACGATTTGTGTCACTTTAGAGGATTATTTTCAGGTAGGTTATATAGGGATTTTTGCAATAAACGTTGGTAATCAATTCTAGCTCATCCTAGGACTACAACCATCTGCGGTCGACCAATTTCGAGTACGTCATCAACGAAGCACAGCGGCTAGTGGCCAAGCGGTACATCAAGGCAATGCTATCGAAGCGACTCAACAAACCACGGCAGGAGTGTGAGATCCTGGCAAAGAAGGTCATCAAAGAAGCCAAGCAGATCAAGACTTTCTTCGAAAAAGTGGCCCCGAATGTAGCGAAAAGTGATTCACCCATCGACGTAATCTCCAATCTGGCAAACTTGCTAACGTGCGATGCGGAAATGTTGATCCTTGATCTGCACACACTGCTCTCCAGCTATCCTTCGCTGACGGAGGATCACGTGGTGCGTTTGTTCTACATGCGCATCGATTTTAAGGCTAGCGAGGTCAAGGAAAAGGTCCACGATGCGATCGTGTCGAAGAAGACCACCGTTAGCCACGACAAGCAGGATAGTATCTTTAAGGAAATTGTGTTTTCCGACAAGCTTTGGTAAGGGCGAGCAGGGATTTTGTTATTTATTCCATGTTGTATGAAATATATTGTGCTTTATATGTACGTAGCAAAATATTAATAGTTGAATTTTCAAATTATTTGAAGAAACATTATTGAATTTGTAGATCAACATTTGAAATAGGTGGAACTACCAAACGTAAACAATGGCTTCAAATGCAAATTTCTCGAGAATCAAAACCCATCCTAGCATTAAATTTTAATTTGCTTTTACAGATTCAGGCTGGGGCTTTATAACATGCTGGTAGCCAACATGCATTTGATTACAGTGGAGGGGTGAGTTACTTGTAATTATTACAAAAGAAAGATACAATTTTTAACTTGCATTAAAAATGGAACTGGATATCCAAAATTTGATCATTTTTAATGTACTGCAACTATTTTAAATAAGTGCGATTACATTAGAAAAATCACCATCTTAGCGCCTGTCCGTTGGACTTTGTAAAGGCTCGCTCCTGTCAACTAACATATTAGGTGTTAAAAATAATACCCAACCAAAAATTGTGCCCTAGTAAATCAAATTACTCGAAAAATAAGCTGTAGCTCCAATACAATATATCCAGAAACCGGCGAATAAAAGCTGCAGTTAGATGGTAGCCGAACAAAATCCCGAGCCGTGGCATAGACTGGAGTTTATAGTTGGAAGTTGTTCGCGATTTGTCACTTCCGAGGAGATGGTTTGAGCGGATGAAAACCCGAAAAAAAAATTACAGTGAAAAACTGCTACCTAGCTGTACAATGAATGTACATAATAAAATGTTGTTACAATGATTTTTATCGTATTTTTCATTTATTTTATTGTTAACATGATTCGATCATGAACAATAATAAACAACTCTATCCCAATAAAAATTGTTGTTACATTAAATATTGGTGTATTTTCATTGTGGGTTACTTCACGAACAATAAAAATAAATCTGATTGAAGCATGCAGACTATGAGAGGGTCAGCAACACTGCCAATGTAATTAAGATAGGCGCTGCTCGTATGGCTCTGGCTTTGACAGTTCGTTTGGCTCAAAACCAGGCAGTCCGCGTCCGCTCATATCTTATCCTAGACCCTCTCTAAAGCTTAATGGAGACCTTTTCCGTGCAGTCAATAATCATACAATAATTATACAATTCCACCACTTGAAGATGTCAGGAAGGAACTCTCAGGTGGAAGCATATTTCATGGGCGATTCTCTCCAGTCGAATGCATTAACTTATCAACGACGTTCAACCACCAAGGAGACGTGACCTAGGGATATCGAGCGCAGGGGAGTTGGCCTGTATTTCTCACAAGTTCCGGATCGAATCTCGATCCATAACCAGTAAAAAAAAGGACCACCCGTAACAGACATACCACCCCCTTCCCTTCCCGGGGCAATGTTTTATTTTTTCGATTTATTTTTAAAGTCGATAAAGTAGATCTGGCAAGCCAACACATACACTCTTAAGTACACTGTTATTTTTTTTAATCAATAAATTCGCCAACCAACAGTAAAATAACAATAATATATAATGTTATTGAAAAAGTTGGAAGGGTTGTATACTAGATACGACCGCAGGGTTGGCGTTGGATAACGTCTGTTATGTGTTGTACTTAATTGTGTATATTATATTTTAGGAATATTCCTTAATAAATCTTTTGCGAAAGTTTGGTGGCCCTGAAAAGGGCCGTTTTGTTGGGCTGATGTTGTTGACAATGATGGAACGGGCGACCTTGTTGGACGCTTATATAGTAGAACAGAAAATATCAGAGGTGTCAGATACTCGCATCTGATGTCTCGGTTGGAGAAAGTATAAGAATATAAAAAAAATCAATCGATTTTCACCATCTTTTGACAATGGTTTACTTTTAACCATTTTTCAATAGTTTACAGACTGAAATCAATAGTTTTGAAACATTCAGCAAATTGCTAGAAATATTTCCAATCGATTGATGCCATTATCTCGTAAATCTATCGAGAGACGGTTGAGTTATTATCGTTCAAAATCTTTTAATTTTTTGTAACGCATCCAAAATGACTGTTTTCAATTTTGTACCCCCGTATGTTGCCGAAAGACGTTATCCAACGTCAAAAAAATTATATGGGAAAATCACGAAAATTTCATTGTTAAGATACTTAACAACCCCCCATTTTTATTGTAAATTTTCCATTTACCATGAAATTTACTGTTTTGTACAACATAAATCAAGGTAAATTTATTGTAGACGTAACAATAGAAATCATTGTTAAGACAATAATTTTCGTCTTATTGTTACATTGTTTTTTAATGTATTTTTGTTGTTATTTTTTTTCGGGAATCAGAATCCAACTTCGCAAATGGTTTTCGATTAAACCTATCTACCGATACACCTCAAACCGTTACACCGTTTCGGAGGAAAAATTTACCCCCTCTCCCTATACGTTGCTTAAGCATTTAAATACTTATGAGGACATTAAAAGAATTCCCTTATATAAATAACTATAAGAAAGAGCTTAACAACGTGTTCGGGGTATCATCCAAACCATTTGTGGAATAGTTCTACCATCCGGGATACCGTTCGTTTAATGGTATTTCAAGGACAACATGTGAAAAGGGCATACAAGCTTTTTGTAAATAAACCTTCTTATGCCCTTTTCTCGCCATCAATATGACACCTACGCAAACCATCAACATCACCGGGTAGGGGAAACTTTCCCCTTCCAGATGATGTTTCTGGTTTGCGAAAACGACCCTTGGTTGGCGAGAAAAGGGCGTACAAAGGTTTGTTTGCAAAAAGCGTGTATGCCCTTTTCACAGCTTTTCACATGTTGCTCTTGATTTGTTTATTAGGGTGTTAAAAAAGTGTAAACTTTAAGGTGATTCCATGAAGATTCTAAAGATGGTTGTCTTCTTCTTCTTCTTCTTCTTTGCATTTCAAGCTTATTGCATATCGCATATTAGCTTATGGCGTGCTCTCAACTTAGTGTTCTTGATGCACTTCCACAGTTATTAATTAAGAGCTTTCGATGCCTGTACCGTTTTTGCATTTATATGATTGTGTGGCAAGTCTAATCATACTTCTATGCCCAGGGAAGTCGAGAAATTTTCCAACCTGAAAAATTCCTAGACCGGACCGGGAATCGAACCCAGCCACCTCCAGCATGGTCTTGCTTTGTAGCTGCGCCTTTACCGACTGAGCTAAGGGAGGCCCCCAAAGATGGTTGTCATGATGGCTGATATCGATGTGCGGTATAAGAGGTGAGGAGAAAGGAAACTAGTGGACTCTTTCATTCTGACGGTGTTCTTATGCAACAGCAGACGTGACGTCACGTCTGTTGCTGCATAAGAAGACGCGAGAACGAAAGAGTCCACTAGTTTCCTTTCTCCTCACCTCTTATACCGCATATCGGGCTCATATGCCTTAACAAGTAACATTGACAGATTCTCTTCGTCGACTTTCTCTTTGTATCCCCACGGCCATGTAAAGACATTCCAAGGTATTTTCAGCACACAGAACGATAAAAGAAGCTTTTATGTAGCATTTAATACGAAAAACACAACAAGAAATGGATATGTGCTCAAGCTATTAACGAAAGAGAAAGTCGACGAAGAGAATCGATCAATGTTATTTAGGACCTAATGCAATGTTCAGCTTGAGTTGTTGTTAGTTGGCCGTGAAAAGATAACCGCATCAGATAACACTATACCGAGCATTGTCCTTTATATTAGGTCCGGGCCAACAGGCTTATTGATGTTAGTGTTCGTATTTCATTGCAATTTTTATCTTTTAACACGAAACAGCTGTTGGGAGTGACGTAAATCTCACTGTTCGCAGTATGGAATGTTATGGTACAGTGACGTCGTCACTTGAGTGCTCAGCAATGTTTACAATCTTTTTGCTTCTAATACCAGCAAGCTGCCTGTTGGCCCGGACCATGGTGGGTATATAAATGGTGCGGTTTTAGAGCAAATTGTAAACAAACTCGGTCGCTGTCCCATACAAAAATCCAACATGACTGAATCATGAATTTCACACATTAGAATACCTATATGTAGTCACCTTGGCCCGGACCTTATACACAGAAACAAAATCTATTGGCAAAAATACTATATTGATGGTTTAAATTAACCACTTCATTCGAGCACTTAAAATGACGTTTACTACCACTCGAACTTTGAAATAAAACATTATTTTGAGATTTTTTCTTCTAGGACCTCGAGATAAGTAGCCAATATTTGTGCGTTTCATAGAAAAATAGAAATTAGTTGGTCCAGTTTTGTGAAATCGCTGGTAGAATGTCACGCCAAAACTGCTTGACAAAGTGGTCAATTAAATACTCCCACCAATAGATTTTTGCAGAAACGAAATTCATTTAATTTTACTATTTTTTCTATCAAAACTACTATGCCGTTTGAGTAAGCATAGTAGTTTTGACAGAATAGTAGTAAATTTGATTATATTTATAGTTAACTATACTGAAATCATGGTAGATTTAACGGTTTTAAACGTAGTTAATCTGAAAATAAGTGTTTTCTGCAAAATAGTATTCCTAACTATTATCTTTGTTTCAGTGTATACACTGTTATGGGTAAATTTTTACCCATTATTGGGTGAAAATATCTTTGTTGCACCGTTAGTTTGCTGACATACCTGGAGTGCTTTTGTCTCGTTTAAAAATAAAATAAAAGTTGGTGCCCCACCTGATTTTCAATGGCAACAATTCGACAGTGAGCATGCATAAGGGCCTATACGCGATGATCGATTCTCTTCGTCGATTTTCTCTTTTGTTAATAACTCGCTAGATTTAACGTTTCTCGGTGCGTTTGCTGTTGCTTTTGAAAGCCAATATAACCTGTTACTACTCTGCATTGAACAAATTCTAGAAAATTGTTTCGCTTAGCTGTAGCAATGCAAAGAGAAAATCGATGAAGAGAATCGATCATCGCGTATTCGCCCTTATGCATGCTCACTGTCGAATTAATCCATCTTCGTTGACGCATCCACGGTGGAATTGACTCCATCTGCGCGTTGGACACTCTATTCAAAGTGTTAACTGTTTTCAACATTCGTCCGCCAGTGTGTGTTCATGCGTTACGGAATCAAAACGACCAGCACCCGGCAGATGGTCAATCGTTTTGTTTTATCGTTTATATGGAATTCATCAATGCTGACGAAAACGATTTTGACGATTATTGTATTTTTAAATTCATTGTTTACGTTCAATAAAAACCAAGTCTAGTAATCAGTAATTTTTATTTTCTTTTCTTTCGAAACGTATTTTCCATACAAAAAAACAAATTTTCAAATATCAGATTATATCCCATTGAAATATTATTTAAAATTGGTACTTTTTACCCAGTTACCAAATACAATCAATTTTGGAAATGGGTAAAAAGTACTCCATGATTTGACGTACAAGCTCTTTACCCATTAGTGGGTAATGATGTTTTACCCATTTTATGAGTTTACCTACTTTACCGCAAAATAGGTACTTTCTAGTTACAGTGTAAATGTCATTGTATACCGAGCACTATCCCATCTTCCGCCCTAGTACGCCCCTGAGCAAATGTATCCAAACGAAAGCACCGAACGCACCCCAACCGACCACTTACTTGTCAGAGCTGTCATCATTTTTTTTTCTGATCGTTCCGAATGATGACAAAAGTGAAAACTCGCGAGGTGCCTCCACAATGTTCGATACCTATTACAAGGAAGTGGTTGCAAATCAGTTCGCGCGTGTAGTATTTGCGATTTTTCCGTTTATTTTCTTGCTCGATACCGTTCAATTTCAGCCGTAAAGTATTCCTCGGAGTGTGCTGCCATTGGTGGTCATCGAAAAACCCGCCCCAATGTGGGCCCAGAACGTGAAAATTAAAATCAAAAATATTCCTCCCTCGAACGAAATTTTCTTCCTCCGTCCCCGTCGTCGTCGTCGTCATCGTTGTCATCAGTCACCTCAGGAGCAGCAGCGCGAGAAGAGCAGCTGTCGTGGTAGTGGTAGTGAGAAGCATTTAAACGTCACCCGTGCAGCAGTATCAGAAAGCCGGTGCTGTCGGTCATCATCGCAGAACAAAACAACACAGCATCGGGAAGTTTCTTCGTCGTCGTCGTCGTGGTCGTTGCTTTCTCCCATAAATATCAATTCAAACAAGTTGGTGGCAATAATCGAAGAGGGCTTCAACCGCGGAAGCGTTGGAAGCGCTCGTGAGCCCCTTTGGATGGAAGTATGAACCAAGAGCCCTGCTCATACGCCCTAACGCAGATCAGTTACCTGGTTTCGAACTTGAACAAGAAGAACTTTGCCACGAACAGTCGTCAACTAGCACAGGTGAGAATCAGTGAAGAAAATCGCCAAAGCTAACCCAATTATCTACCGAGAGCTTTGAAGATTATGTGTTTATGTCTGCGGAAAACAAAAATCATTGCATCGTCATCAGTGGCTAGTTATTAATGTGCATTATTATTTCTAACAACCATTATGTGTGCGAGTGTGAAATCGGATCATTTTTTATCACCATTAGTTGATCGTCTTTAACCGATACACGCAGAGAAATGGTTTTTAAATTCAAATGGATATATTTTTGACTCAGGGCCTAATGTATTTTTGATATTGTTTCAAATATATTATTAGGTTAATTCAAAGAAAAATATTTTTGAATCAACAAACTGGTTGTAGAGTCAATAATCTGTTTGTTGATTCTAAAAACCATTTTGTTGATTCAAAAATATGTTTTGTTGAAATAGTGATACAATATGTTTGAATCAATAACAAAATACATTAGGCCCTGAAACAAAAATCCATTTTTCTGCGTGTATAACAACACCTACCTAAATGACCCTGACTAACAAAAAATGTGAATGTGCTCATCGGTAGACCGTCTGAAGGATTTTCCATGGAAGCTGGTAAGAAGCAAAAGAAAGAAAAAAAAATTATGGCTACACTTATCGATCCAATATTATTGTTTGGGGACGAGACTGAGACACTGAGAGAAATGTATAATGCAATTCTGTGACAATCGTCGTTCAGCCATAAATGGAGAAAAAAGGGGCTACGAATACGTTTTACGCTACTCTGAGGAATTTAGTTATTAGTTATTTTAGATCCAACACGGAACTTTTTTTTTAAAGTAGGGTAAATTATGGCTTCGGCACCCATTGACTGTTTTCGGCAACCGAAATTGAAACGTTTATTTTACTGTATTTTCCCATCAAAACTCTTCGCTGAATGTATTAAGCCGATTCCTTGCCTTTTCAGCTTAAATCTGATTACATTTTTACGACTGTGAATTCCTGTTATACCATATTTTTCTTTAAATGAAATATACATACTACAAAATACGGCTGATTTCGAGTTGCCGATAATAGAACAGCTGGTTAACACGCAGTTCAAATGGAAAGGGTGCCGAAGAAAAAGAGACTGCCGACAATAGTCACTCTCACCTGAGAAGTTTGGAGCGTTGTAAAAACATGTTCAACCCGTTTTGATCAATTCTGTCGATTGGAATTGGTAGAACAGCAAGCAGCAGATAAATGTCAACAAACAAACCTGTCAAAACCGCTGAGAAATCGCTAATAAAAGTTCGGACGCTGCTTAGATTGACGAGAATACGTAAATTCCCCTATATCTGAAATCAGTGAAATTTTTAAAAACAATTTTTCGTCTTTTGAGAGTTTGGTAGCGGGTCACAATAAACTACAATATTATTACAAAATAATATCAATAGGAATTCTCTGGACGCAGTTCTTGAGTTATTTCAAATATTTACAGAGATCGATTCTTAAAGGTGTTTATTAGAAAAGTAGAATGCAGTTCTGCAAGAAGCTCAGGTATATAATTTATTATGGGATCATCATAGTTCTATCAGTTCTTCATAATTATTTCATCAGAGATTACAGTTAAATACATGTAGTAAAATGTTGCATGTTTGCAAAACTTTCCTGTTATTACATCCCGCATCAACACGAATCACACCTTGACCAGGCCCATCTTCTCCGTTCCAGGGGAAGGAAGGATATTGTTGATGTTACATCTATTTAATGGGACGCCAGCGACTAACCGACGCCCTCATAGATGCTATGGAGTTGGATGGTAGGGATATGGTAGGCGCTGCGACCATTGTAATGATTTTATTTAGGAGGAGCTTATGGGTAAACCCACGATCTTACTCAGTAAGCATAACCGGCAGGCATCAAACTAGCCGAACTCCTCAATTAAATTTTCTGGGACCGATCTACACGCATTTGAAACAAAAAATATGTTGATAAAGAGATGAAAAGATTAAATTGGATTACTTTACTTAACGATTCCACATTAAAAATGACCTTTTACTTTAGACCAAGTGCTCCGCGCATACCTATGATCATATGTATACCTGTAGGTACCTTAATAAAAAAATATCATACCCGAATGATAAACCAAATTATAGAACTATTCCACAAATGATACTCTGAACACGTCGTTAAGCAAAATAAACATAACAATTTTATTAGGGTAGCGAAGCACTAAGCCTACAATTAAGTGTATTAGTATGTGTGGTCTTCGACAAAATTTATCTGCATTATTTTTCGAATCGGTATTCCGAATTCCTATACATTTTCCCATACACAAAATAAAATTCTCCCGCAAAACCAAGTCCTAACTAAATTCCTTTAAATTTGGCATATATGTTGAGAACCTCAATGCAGACTGAAAGAGCAGTGAGTTGTGATCCGCCATACAAATTTGTCCCATCCATTCGGGAAAATTTGGGAATCGAAAATCATCAGGTGCGATAGGAAAACGAGAATTGTATTGTTGAGTTAGGGTACATGTCCCTAATCTGGGTCTAATAAGCTGCCATCAGCTATGATTTAAATTATATCGCAATAAAATTATTTACTTACAGTCGAAATTTCCCTGTAGACGTAGCTACTAATTAATATATGCTTATAATTTCCGTAACAATTGAGTGCGATAAACAGTTACTAAACTTACCATTGTGAATGAATACTTTTCAGGAACATGGATTTAATATCGGCATATTGAAAAAAACCGATTTGTACCTTCCTTAATAGTTGTCCTAGCTCGCTATTCTAATATTTATATGCAATCTTCACACTGCCGTACTCTAACGGAACTATCAACTTTATGCTTTCATCTACTCCATCTATCGTATAAAAATTACCACTACAGTCTGTTATTTGAAATTAGTATCTTCAACTATGTAAATCGTTGACTTCACGTAGAAGTAATACTAAAACATATAGTCAAAATCCGTCAAAATCGGCATATTGTTTCCATCTAGCGCCCAACAATGGATGTAACTTCGGTAACTCTAAAATAGTTCTTGAAATGAGATTGCTGTTTGCTCTGACGTAGGATTACATCTTTCGGCGACATATTGGGGGTGTAATTTCAAAAAACCAAAAATCAACCGCGTTTCGAAAAGTGGGTTATATTTTATTGTCTGAAAGTTTGAAAAGGATCGGTCAACAAGGTAATTTTCTACAGCGTTTTTTTCCGTGATGCAATTTGATGTGGGACATCCTTTATGAGATGCAGGAAGAGGAAGTTAGTATAGTTTGTGTATAACACATAAAACCTGTTAATTTCGCTTCCAGAGTCACAATCAGCGATTAGCTATAACAATGAGCGCTCACTTGTTGCGATTGCTCATTACAGCTAAAATCGCTAATGTGACCCTCTGAAAGTCAAATTGACAGGATTTATGTGTCATACACAAGCTTTACCTCCTCTTCTTGCATCTTACAGATGAAACATATTATTATAATATCTCATAGTAGCGGCGCCGGTGGTGTAGTGGTAAGCGCGATTACCTCTCACTCCAGCAGGCCTGGGTTCAATCCCAGTCGGCACCACCGGGATATTCTGAGACATAACATCTCTGATCACGTCTTCCTTCGGAAGGGAAGTAAAAACGTTGGTCCCCGGTTCACGAGTTGATGGGTCGATAGGTAGGGTCCAGGTGTGGAAACTGTCTCCCTGGTGTCGGTAGCATTGGTGCTTAGCACGGAAAACAAGATCGATGGAAAACAAATCAAAGAAAAAAAAAATCTTCGCAGCACTCATGTTTTTTTTCAATCACCGTAGGGATGCTATTTGTTATACGCATTTTTAATGCACCACCAACGTAGAGTGCGCCACGTGAGTTTGAGACGAAACGTCAACCAAACCGTTTGTTTACATCAGAATAACAATTTTTCACAACGCAATTTAATGCATTTTTCATTCAACATCTTACCAAATTCTATCGATAATTGTCTTATTGTACGATTTTCCACAGATCTGAACTGATTTGTACCTTAACTATCCACACACAAGAAATCCGGAAGATCATAACCACTAAGGCACTTTTCTAATTTTCCATATTTCGCAACAACAATATTCCTTTTCACCAGCAGGATCTTTGCAAAAACGTTATAGAATTAAATTTTTCAACTGTCGATTAAGTTTTGGAGCATCTCAGAAGAGTCAATTTATCAGGAAAAGTTAAGTTTCTGTAAGTGGAAGAAATCAAAAATTCGGTTGGTTTTTGAAACGTGCGTGGATCCGGAAAGACATTAAAACACAACGTAGGGCCTGGTCACCGCTCGACGGAACAGAGGGGTTATTGGTTTTTCCTGTGTTTCAAGGGGTGAATCGATTATCTTGGGACCGAAGATAGTACCAGAGCTGAGCCAAAAAGTTGAACACGTTATTTCGGGACCTTCTAGTCTTAGAGTTACCTCTATGGCGGTACTGTGTCTGTCGCACGGATTCAGGCAAAGTTTCCAGTCTTCTTGATATGTTGTCTTCGATGAAAGGGACCGTGGAAGAGCACACTAAAATAGAAAGTGTTTTCTTCCAACTGTTTTATCTTAGCATTCTTCTTTGCTTTAATCCTCCGCAACAACATTTCTGCAACGAAGCATTAGTCGATCGGGCTTGGTTTGCTTTACGGCCAACCATTCGTGCTTTCTCGTGTTGCCAGTGCAACTTTTCCATCGTCCCTAGTGACAGTTCCGTAGTCACCGGCTTTTCCAGCTCGCAGCTTCTCCAAAGCATCAGCGATTTTCATCTGTCTCGAGCGGGTCAGTTCACTTCGGACAAACAGGTTTCGATCTTTGGTAATGTGGTTGTTACAGTACTGGCAGAAATAAAGTGCTCATTACGTATTTTTTTTTCTCGTTTGATTGCTATAACTTCGTAATATGTAGTTGTAGAAATTTGGTGTATTTGAACAAAATACAGACTTATAAAATAAAATAAAAAATTATCAATAAAATCGTCATTATTGGCTTATCAGTAGTGGAAGAAAAAAGTGCTCACACAAGTTTTCAATTTTTCCA